AAACCCAGGTTTCATTATTGCTGAAGTAGGCATATGAATTAAAAACTTTAAAAATAAATTTTGTTTCTGTTTTCTTTTTCAAAAAAATTTATTTATTTATTTGTTTGTTTGTTTGTTTTGGGGACACAATTTCTCTACAGAGCCCTGGCTGTCCTGGAACTTGCTCCATAGACCAGGCTGGCCTTGAACTTAGAGATCTGCCTGCCTCTGCTTCCTGAGTGCTGGATTAAAGATGTGCACCACCACTACCTGGTTTATTTTTAATTTGTTAATGTTTATGAATATGTGTCTGGATGTGTATGACATGCGTGTGTGTGCAGTTACCCACAGAAGCCTCTGGACCTGGAGTTATAGGTGGGAACTGATCTCAAGTCCTCCAGAAGAGCAACAAGTTCTTACCTGCTGAGTCATTTCTCCAGTCCACCTTTAGTTTTATTGTTCCTATTTTATAATAGTAAAAAAAAAAAATCTGTGGAAAGGTTGGGCAAACTGAATAAGGAACCTCTTCATGCCCTTCATGTCGACTCATTGATTTTCAACAACTTTGCCTCCTTTGCTTTGGCCATTTCTCAGGTTGGGTTTTTTGGACCATGTGAGTGTAAGTTGTAGACATCAGGGTATTTTCTTCTAACTTTTGTGTGTTTCTCCCATGAAGAAGGCAGTCTTCAGAGAACCACCCATGAAATATAGCACCACAGTAATATTTTTAATATAAGCTCGACACTCAAATTCTGTCAGTTTCCTATGAATAACCTCCACAACTGTCTTGTTTCAGACTTAGGAACCAAATGAGGAGCACATATAACCTTTTGATGATCATTATTAGGCAGTTTCATTGAGATTAAAGAATTCCTTTACTCAGTTGTTTTCTTTTGTAATATGCATTTTGAAAATAATTTTTAATTAGAAAACAAATTAACAGAACTCTTGTGGTGTTTCAGGCATATTTTTTTTTGGTTGATTCCACTCCCCCCCCCTTCCTCCACCCCTGCCCCACCCACTCCATTTTCTGGTCACATGTTCTGTCACCCAGCCCTCCCCTCTCATGGGTCCCTTTCTAGTTTCCTGATTTGTACCCACAATCACTCCCACATAAACACATATATGAAAATTAGAACACAAGTCTACATGAGAAGCAAGAACATGTGTTATCTATAAACTGATCTTTTTTGAAGAGTATTGACTAGCAATTTTACAGCATGGCCTTAGTACGGATTTGTTTTGTCTATAACTTCTTATTCTTAGTACAGATTTGTTTTGTCTATAGCTTCTTATTCTTAGGTCTAGATTAAACACTTCTGGTGATTCATCTCATACACTATAATTTATGAGTAAGTATATGATGTAAGTTTGCTTCATTATTCTGATTATAAATTCAAATCACAGGCAAGTGCAGTCATATTGGTCAGATTGTCCCTTGTGAAGATGTGGTTTTATCTTTGTAATTACATATGGATCATAACAAATTTCACCCAGTGGTTTAACACTCAGTGCTGCTTGCTTTGATTTCTATGTGAAAAGATAAATACGCAAACGTGAAAGTGAAGTATTTGTAAGCACACAGAAACCCACATAAATGTAGACTACTGGCCTCAGACTGAGTTGTGAATCCTTAAAGCTTACACTGAAGGGTGAACTCTTACAGTCTCAACAGTTTCCTGGCACATGTCATCATTTATACTCATTTTCCTTCCCAAACTCCAACAGTCTCAACTTTTATTGCTTACATATTGCTTTTGTAAAAAAGGATTTTCTTGTTTTTAGTTTATATATGAGCGCTTGCCTGCATGTATGTGCACCACATGCATGCAATGCCCACAGAAGTCAGAAGAGGGCTTCAGATCCCCTGCAACTGGAGTAACAGAGGTTGTGAGCTGCTACATGGATGGTAGAAACTAAACCCAAGTTTTCAATAAGAGCAGCCAGTGCTCCTAACTGCTGAACCACCCCTCAGCCCTTGAATACATATTTCTTAAAAAACAGTTTTAGTGACCCTTATGAGTTGTTCATTTCAGTCTATCTCACAAGAGGAAAGTCATTGTGACATTGCAGTTTTGATAATCTGAGTACATCCAATGTTCAGAAACAAAACCCATCAGACCAGGAGTTTTGTACATAGGAATCAAAGTGAAAAATCTGAAATTCAGGGATTGGATTGGTAGTCACCCCATACACAGACACAGACAAATACACATATAGACATACAGAGACACAGACATATACACACAGAGACACACACCACATACACATAAACAGACACACACATGCATACATATGCACATACATACATGCATTCACCAATGTACACAGTCATTTCACACCTATACACATATACACACATATAAACACATATACGTGTGCATGCACGCACACACACACAAGCACACGCGCGAACACACACACCAACACTAATGCACCTGCACCAGTGCACACACAGACACACATGCACACACAGATGCACACACTAGGCTTGAGCAACCATCTCACTGTGTCTGAGTTAGTGCCTTTGCAATCTTTTAAGGGGTTTCTTGAAGGTGAAATATTAGTATGTATGTGAAACCTACGAACTGGTACATTTCAAACAAGAATTCTTCTGTGTAAGCACCGAGTCATCTATTTTAATCACCTAGACTCAGTAGCTGAGCGTCCTCTCACTCTGAGTAGTGTCTACATTAACTTTGTCCTTTCCCCCACTGTTTCTTTAAATTTCAAGTCTCAGACTCACAGCAAAATGGATTGTGGTTATTCTAATACGTATCTATTTAGCACTTAATATTTAATACCCATTTTCAGTAATTATTAGGGAAAATGGGTATTAAATTTTATATTCTCTAAGGCCTAAAATCTATGCATAAATACAGAACCCACTTAAAGAAAAATAAAGTGCCAAAGAATTACCCATTTCAGATTCTAAATTTAAGTAATAGCTGTAAGTAAATTCAGAATAGTTTCTTACTAAATTTTCATTCAGAAGAGAAGCTGTAAGTGTTGAGAGATCTATTAATGAAGCTGCTTTTATGGGGAGAGGGGGATTACTGATTTTGCCTTTCCTGCATCAAGGAATTCTCATTTAGCCAAATGACATTAGCCAAATGACATCACTTTGCCTATGGTCTGTGGTTGGTGACTTTAACCTGTGATGGGAAGCTGAGGGGACCACACAGCTGATGCTGTAACTATTATCTGGGAAGGACACCATAGTGGTAATCAAGAGTGTCCCTGAAAGGTTCATGTGTAAAAGCATTTGGACACTTAGGAGGCTGGTCCTGTGGAACCTTTAGGGAGAGGATTCTAGCGTGAGGATAAGTTTCTGTGGGTGTCCCTTGAAGAGAATATTGGGACCCTAGTCCTGTCTCTTTTCTTCCCTGCCACTGTGATGTGAACAGAGAGGTGACACTTTGTGGGTCCTGCTAACTAGAAAACCAATCTCTTAATCTGTGCTTAGTTATCTAGTCAACTGTCAAAGTATAATTCCACAACCTCTGGCCCCCTGTCATTAGTGGGGCCCGTTAAAACTCCTAAGAACTGCTAAGAACTACCTCCACGATCCAACATTCTCTGATTCTATGTCCAGAAGTTTCTCTAGGCAGCAAGAAGAAGAGAATGGAGTTTCTGACCCACAGTGCATTGTACTTGCACCCAGAGGACCAGTCCGAGGAGGTCTTGTTTGGCTTCCATAAACCATTCATTCAAGGACTCTGTAATTTACAATTTAATAAAGAGGGTTTTTGGCGGAGGATTGCATAGCTGAATCACCCTGACTTTTAGCCTCTTGCCTTGGGAGTTTCCAACAATCCATTTAGAAAGAGCAACACAAAAATCCTCTGATCATCTCCCCCCTGCCAGCCTCAAATGTCAGCCCTGTGGGATGTTGATAGGTGTTCCTGCTAGGAGGCGAAGCAGTACCACTGCCTGCGTGCCTTTCAGGGTCCTTGATTCACTGTAAATTCTATGTAAACTGTTGGATTTGACAAGGAGGAGTTGTTGAAGGCAGACTACTGGGAAGGGTCGATGTTGGCTTGAATTTGGCACCAATCTCTCATCCTTGACAGCTCAAGTGCAAGATGGTGGATGAGCTATAGGACCCGTGAGCCTCCTCAGTCAGCAAATGCAGGCCCTGAGTCACATTTAATTCAGAAAATCCTGACAGCCCTGCATAAAGTGTGAGCTGTAAAAATGGAGAGATTGAGACTGTGTGCATGAGTGAGCCATTATTTCCTTTCACTGGACTTTGGGAAAATCCAAACCAGGACAATATGGATTCCAATACATCACCAAGAGATCAACATTAGTGACTTCAAGAACATATTCCAGGCATGATGCCAAGGCCACATGGTTTAAATAATTGAAAGTTACGAAGAAAATTAATGAAAAGTTAGAAGACGCCTGGAATTCTACATAATTTAGCTTAAATCACACATATCTACACTGTACACAAACAAGACTACCTACAATTAAGAAAAAACGTTGGGCTGGCAAGATGACTCAGCAGGTTTAGGCATGTTCTCAAAAGCCTAGTGATCTGAGTTCAATCCTGGGAACTCACATGGTGAGGAGAAAACAGGCTCCAAGTTGTCCTGTGACTTCCACATGTGAACACATGTATCAAACATGGACGCACTCACATCTAATAAATATTAAAATCGCTAAATGAGAAAAAATGTTAAGGCCAGGCAGTGGTGATGCATGTCTTTAATCCCAGGGAAGCTGAAACAGGCAGATCTCTGAGAGTTTGAGGCCAGACTGGTCTAGAGAGTGAGTTTCAGGACAGCCAGGGCTACACAGAGAAACTCTGTCTTGAAAAGCAAAACAAAAGAAAACAAACCAAACAAACAAATAAAAGCAACAAAAACCAAACAACAACAATAAAATAACAAATTATTGAAATCGTTTGGAATGGGAACAGAACAGTGGGTTTGAAAAACGCCTTTATCTCAGTGCTGGCCCTGAGACTTTCTTCTGCCTGAGAGAGCGTCAGTGTCGCTGCTTTGTGAGCCCCATCTCCCACCCTACATGCTTTGACACATGGCCCTCTGTGTTCATGGTTGATTGTGCAACCATCCCGGAGTACACAGCATCCCTTGACTCAGCGGCTGCACAACGGCCTCTGTGAGGTGGAGGGGCCCCGGCTGAGGCGCCTCCTGTGTTTTCTCTGAGTTGCTTGTCGGCCAGGCAGTTCTGTGTCTCTGGGTGCAGCCACATTTTGGGAATTGGCTAAAACCAGAATGATCTAGAAAGACCTTCAGGAAGACTGCTGGAGCCAACTCAGTGTGATTTTGTATGTCTCATCTTCCATGGCAGGACTTGGTAAACTCTGGCCTCTGCGGCAAAAAATCTAGCTGTTGATGGTATTTAGAAATGATGCCTTCTTGGGGTACAGCTATGTTTATTTTTTTCTGTCACTTCTTTCCTGCCACAGTGGCAGAGTGAAGTAAGCTGCTGTAAAGGAGACCTCCACAACTCACAAGACAGGCATATTTACTATCTGATTATTCATAGAACAAATTTACTGACTTTTGCTGCATTCAGCTGGCCTGGGAATGTTACCATGACTGTGACAAAGGAACAAGGGAGGAAATGGAATCCCATGAACAGCCTTCCAAGAAAACATCAGTGCATCATGTCAACTGACATGCCAATGGACAAAGAAAGTCACACGTCACACAGATGACCTCAAAATCAAAGTGTTTAGACTCAGATTCCCGTGAGAACAACCTCAGCATCACAAGGCACAGGGTAGGTATGCATGGAGGAATTATTGATGGGAAAAATCCTTTGTGATGATGTTATGAAGTTCAATCTAGATGCAAGCACAAGCATTGTTTAAAGCCTCATGCCATGAAATCAGTCTTTGCTCACCATTTTATCAGATTAATTGTAACCCATGGTATGCTCTGTGTCATAACAATGGTTACAACTAAGCTTTAAAAAAGCAAGCATATGAATTTGGCCTCCCATCTCTCATTTACAACATGCCGCCTTAGGAAGACAGATGGGTTAAAGAACAAATATTTGGATAGCCTTATAGCCTCTATAACCAAGTTGATTCCCAAACTGTGCCCCGTCTGTTCTCTTGGAATTATCATCTGCACCATGCTCCCAACCAAGCACTTCATAAAATTTAATGTTTTTTACTATTGGTGTAGTCAGTGTAGATCGGAGAACATTACTGGCCTAAGCGTGAATGACCATGTTGGTGTTTGCTGTAATGACTAATATTAGTCCATGGCTTATATTAATCATGAACATAAATGCTACATTAAACTTTTTGTTACTCAGTCTATAAAGTTAATAGCTAATGTGATAGGTTTTTTTTCCTCTTTATAACTTACCCTTTGTAACACTATATTTAGAGATGGAATCCAAGAATTTATTCTAATGATTTGTTTCTCACCAACCCACCTAACAACAGATGAATCACCTTATGCTCTCTCCATTCCAGTGAAGTAGATGATTGAAATGATCAGTGACTCTGAAAATCCTATTTGTTCTGGAGGCAGGTGTTGATCTACTCATTTCTGGTGATAGAATGGGGGCGTCAACATGTGGGAGTAATTACAGTAGAGAACCTGTAACCTCATTAATGAGGTCAGAGATGATTTGTGAGCTAAATAGCATTTTGTGGGTTTCACACCTTAGAATAATAATGTTTAAATTAATTTTCTCTGAATCAATGTCATGTCACCAAACACCAGGAACACTCCAGAACATTAAATAAATATTGAGTTCTCTCCATTTTAAGATTTTTTCTTTCCTCATTTTTTTCTTCAGATGGGGAACATACTGTCACTTGAATAGACCAGCCATTGATAGATATTAGTGTCAGGGGTGGAGCAGACAGAATGACCAGAAGCCAATGAGATGGGATTCCCTGTCCTATTCATTCTGAGTTTCCCATATCTTGACACTGAGAGTTAGGTTCCTGCAGGCCAAATCTCGATACACAGATTAGAAGGAAGTGTTTCGTTCTTCAGGGAACTATTGACTAAGAACCTCTGTGTGGTAGGCGCTTGGTGTAGAGCACTGAAGAGACAGACATTAGACAGGGGTTTGTAAAGAAATCAAAAGAGCTCATTAAATAGCCGAAATCAAACTGTCCATGGGATCCTCGGGCAGAAACCAAGTCACTGTAGTCTGTTGGTCAAATCTACCTTGGCATGCTTCAGTAGAGACCACAGGATAAAAAGGTGTTTTACTAACAAACATTTGTAATCAGTTCAGTGCCTGAGGACATTAACAATAAACCAAGATTAAGCAGAGTGATAGCTATCGGCTGGATAAAAAAATCTCCATTTCCTTAACAGTGGGCCTGAATATAGAATGAGAGAGAAAGACAGAGAGGAGGAGGAGGAGGAGGAGGAAGGTTGGGCAGAATGCCTTGTTTCCAGGCCAGCTTCATATACTTAGTGAGTTTCAAGCTAGCCAGGGCTTAGAATGAACAGTGCCTTGAAAAACTAAAAGAGAAAGAAAGGAAGGAGGAGGATCACATCATTATTCTCATTACACACAGAAGCACACCATACTCTTGTAGCCATTACTCCTGCTCTTGTTTTCTGGGCTCCTTTGTGACATGCTAGTTTCTTCCTCTTGACTCATAAAGTCTGAAATATTTACTCAGACTCTTTATAAGACATGTGGACCTGTGATGCACACAGTTGCTTAAGACGTTGTTATAGGACTATGAGTTATCTAGCTGTTTGGCACCTACTAACTGGTCCCAAGGTTTAATCAAAGCAATTACAGTGATAGACAATGAACCTTCCCTTCCACAGTAAGAGTGCTGGAGACTCAGGGTACAGAACATGCTGCTGTTTACTTTACAATCTTGAAAAGTTGACCACTCTTCTAGGAGAAAGGAAAGAATGACTATTTTGATAATTTATCAAAAACTGTGGTTTTTACAATTCCTCTTGAGGAATCCCACCCCCTTTCTGCCAGCCCGTATTCTTCAGGGAGTTACAGTCTCTCTTGCTTGTTGATCACGGTCCCCCTTCCAAATCTCCATCCAACTGCACTGGACACATTCACTCAATCACCTAACAGACGGTACCTTTTCAACCCTAGGATAAAACAAAAAGTACGTGGTCAAGAAGGCCCCAGCCACCAGCTAGGGAAGACCGGTGGGGGGTGGGAGGGGCTTCTTCCTGGTTAACTGAGGTTCTTTGATGAGTTCTAAATGCATGTCATACTGAAAATGCACCATCAGGGCCAGTGAGGTAACTCAGCTTTTAAAGCTACTTGTTACCAAAAACTGACCGAATGACTTCTTACTAAGAAAATCACATGATTTCCATATTTATCCTTTTCTATTTTAACCCAAATTAATTGTTTTTGTTCCATATCATTACATAGTATGGAAGATGTTAGACTACATCAAGATTTCTAAGCATTTGGCTAACTTATATTAAAAAATGAGATGTGGTGGCTGGGGAGATGGCTCATTTGGTAAACTGTTTGCCTGAATTTGATCCCTTAAAACTCACATACAAAATCTGGGTATGGTGGCACACACTTGTATTCCAAGCACCAGGGAGGTGGAAACAGGCAGATCAGTGGGACTCTCTGATCAGGTAGCATAGCCTATTGGGCAAGCTCCAGGGTAGTGTGGAGACAGGGCTGTCTCGGAAAAATAAACAAAACCAAAGTTCTTGTCTCATGAGGAACGACATCCAAGGCTGTCCTCTAGCTTTTGCATGTGCATGCATGAACATGCACACACACACACACACACACACACACACACACACACACACACACAACACATATACACACACA